ATCTAGTCGATTTTGGCGCTCTTCTTCGGTTGCGTTCAGTCGACTTGATCGAACTAGTTCTTTTTTCTTTTCAAGACGAATTTGACGTTGTTCTTCTTTGTCATTGTGATCGTGCAACATTGTATCAGACATGGTCGATTGAGAAGAATCAGTGTCTGTATCAATTTCAGTACGTAAACGTCTGCTAGGAGATGATTGAAACTCAGGAATTCGTATCTGGATAGCAGCATTGTTCTTAAATGTCTTCTTTTCAGGAGTCTAAATAAATCTTAAGATTTATGAATTCTAATTCATAAATAAAAAACTTACCGCAAGAACTGACGCTAATTGATTATTATTATCACGCTCGTGTTGAATCAATCGTGACATAAGTGGAACAAAATGATTGGGGCTCCATGTTGAATTATTTTTAATTCTTACCTCGTTTTCGTTCAAGGTATGTGACCACAATATTGTAATTTCGCAATTAGCAACAGTAGGTGGAAGAGGCCTAAACGTGTTATTCACGATGGCTGTATGATCTCGAAGATCAATTTTTGGATAAATACTTCGTATGTTACATTTAAGTAAATTGCACAACGCAGCAATTTCATACAATTCCGAAAATGTGGACTTTCTGCACATAGCTTGAATTGCAATATCAAAAGGTCCGACGCAATGTGAGTACGTATTTGAATAATAAGTCTCATTCGTAATAAGTTCTATTACTGTTCGAACTAAAATAAACATCGAGAAGCAAGTTGTATAATAAAACAATTGAAAAAGATTTATATACCTCGTAATTCACTCCATGTCACTAGTGGGTTATTCATTAGAAGAACAATGGAATGATATAAACAATTTCCATCGGCAATGACATCGGCTGGAACAAGCTGATGTGCATCACTAGTAGCCTGTTCAAGATATTGCATGGCTATCACGTCTAAAATATGTTTTTTCGGATCGAAAACTTGATTTGGCCGGAATTCATATGGTACCATAATTGATTCAACCTTCAAAACTTTGTTTGTAAATAAATTAGTATTTTAAATAACTCACTTGTCGAATACTTTGTACGAGGGTAGCAATCTCGTCATAGGGCATTATACTTTGAGAACATTTGTCGAGACGCTGAATCAATTGAGAAAATTTTTGACCACGACTCATTCGACTACATTGTGAACAACAGCTACTCCCGCATTGCATAGAGCAGAATATACACTGTGTGTTCATCCTCAATCTGTTTTAATAATTGTATATTATTATCTAGAGTATATATAATTGAACAATATATAAAATCTGATTTTGTGAAAAATTAAAAATAGATATAAATATTTTATGCAAAAACCTATATACGATCAAGATTCTTCTGCAGATAGCCAAAATAGAAGACAAAAAAGTTCTTAGATAATTATTCTATTTTATCTTATTTTTTATGACTGAAATATGTACTCGAATCCGAGTTATTTTCTGAAAAACTCAGATTTCATTATCTTAAAAAGAATTTTCCGACGCCATCTATAACAATAAAAGTTCATGTCATGATCGAAGTCGATTTGGATTATGTGGCTGGTGTAGATGGATCGTACGAGTCAACATCTTCAGAGTTGATCGGATTCGATTAAAATCGATCAGTTTGAACAGACTTTACAAAAATATTCGCTCGTTTGGTACAATAACCATTGATGATTCAATCCTTTCAACCAACGATTAGTATGAATCATGTCAAGATAGAATTAAAGAAGTATCTAGAATTCTTGTTAAAGTTATATGATTCGATCGAAAATCAAATTCAGATTTATGTTAATATATTTAATAACTAAAAGTAAATTTTAATCTGCATTTATATCTAATAGGAAAAACATTTTGCTAAATGATAGATCGCAAGAAAAAATATGACGTACGAGTATTACAACAATCTTATTTAAAATTCAGTTCAGTATAAAGGCAAATCTTCATTAGTTATAGCCATATAACATAGCATGTGTCAATAAATACTTAATCATAATATTTTCTATATTATTATAAAAACGTCCTTATAATCTAAAAATATTATATTATATAATCAGATCTAATCCAGATTAAAACTCGTATATCTTTTCTATTGACAATCTAAAAAAGAATAATTGATTTTACATTTATTTTGAGTGAAGTAAAATACTAAACGAATAATAAAAATAATCAGTGCTTTGATTTTCTCTATCTTTTACCATTATGAAAACGTAGTTCATTAGCATAATGAGGGAACAATATAGATTAAAAGTAAATGCATCTCCTGTTTTTTCAATGAAATACTATTATTTTATTCATTGACATATTACAGATAGACCAGAAATAATACAGCTGTTACTAGTATCAAAATATGTCCTGCATATTATATTCAATTGAAGTATTTCATAATCAAAACATTTAGCAGTAGAATTTTTATAAAAAACATTGGTATTCCAATATATACATCGTCTCGGATGTATTAAAAACTAGATATCAAAGTCAATAAATAACATCTGAATCAAAATGATGAACTATAGTTTTTTTCTATTGAAGATTCTATTGATAATATAATAAAATGTTATTTGAAATATAAACTCGGTAGCAGATAGTCACAACAGAAAATTATTTATCAATGGCATTAGTCTATTGAAGAAAATCAAAATTTAAAGAGATGAAAACGTTCAACAGCAAGTACATACATCGTATCATCTTTCTCAGCTCAAATAAAACGTTTTTATTTATTTATTACTTAATACAGAATCATTTTACAATATATTAATTTCTTATTTGGCAATTCTTAGTACAATAAAATCTATGACGATATCCTCTTATAATATACGAGGAAGAAATTTTCTGTGGATCAACAAAATTTTTCTGTAAATCAACATCTCTAGCTCTCGGTTTATATTAGCCTACTATTTCATTACATTGGATGTAATATAATCAAATAGTTTTGATTAAACGAAACTTTTATTTTTTATAGCTGATAATGATCGTCTTCTATATATGAATATACAACTCTTCAGAGAGAATCTTTCATTTCTTAAAAAAAATTTCAATTTTAATATAACCTTTTTTCATCGCGATTTGTTTCACTGGTTGATTCCGTCACATCGGATGAATTATACTCATTTCGTTTAGGGAAAAAAAACGTTCGTTCTTGTCTTGGATGGTGGTCATATATATATATACAATCAGAAAATTTAACCAAGCAAATTTTTTTCTACGTATACATTTTATTTTCAATATAACACCTTTTGAGCGCGATTTGTTTTTCACATCTATTTCGTCACATCAAATGGAGCATAATCACTTCGTTTTGAATAAAAAAAATCCTTCATTCTTCAAGGCTGATGATGGCCGTCTATATGTATATACATAGCCATCACAGAGAAACTTTTTTCTTTCAAATAAAATTTTACTCTCAACATGACATCTCTTCGTGGAGATTTTTTTCATCGACTTCATCACATTTGATGAAATCTACTTGTTTCGTCTGAAAAGAACAAATATTTGTTTTATTGCTGCTGATTATAGTCACACATATATCAAGCCAGAACATTTAACAGTGAGACTTTTTTCTAAAAATCAATTTTGTCTTCAATATGATATTTTTTAGTTGAACTTTATTGTTCTGATCTATTTCATCACATCGGATGAAATACACTCATTAATTTTCATTAAATGAGATTTTTTTTCATTGTTGATCATGATAATCATCTATATATCGACTCACGATCTATAAGAGAGAAACTATGATTTGTTCGAGCTAGTTGTGTTTTCACCCAATAATTTTTTCTCGCGATTTCCTTTTCTAACCTATTTTATCACATCTGATGAAATATACTTATTTGCTTTTCAAAAAAATGCATTGTTTTCTATAGATAATAATGTTAGTCATACACATATCAACTTCCAACATTCTAAAGAGAAAATTTCATTTATACGAAAGAATTTTAGTTTCTACCAAACAATTTTATCACGATGTTTAATTTTGTAATCTACTCGTCACCTCGAATAAAATTTATTATTTTATTTTGAGAAGGTTTCATTTGTTCGAACGAACTTGATTCGCATAAAAAGTTTTTAGTTGGAATTTATTTCCTCATCTATTTGATTAGGTTGGAAAAAATACACTATTGTTTTAAGAAAATGATACATCTTCTTGTATAGGCGATCATGATAGTCATTCATCTATCATCGCTAATTCGTATGGGAGAAGCTTTTATTTTTTCGAATGAATTTTATTTAGACTAACAATTTTTAGTCGACATACATTTTCCTAATCTATTTCATCACATCGTATGAAATTTCCTACTTTTTGTTGAGAAAATGACAGATTTCTTTTATAGATAATGACCATGGTCATTAATGTCTCAATTGCTAATCTCTATGCGAGAAAATTTCATTTCTTCGAACGAACTTTGTTTTCAATGTAATAGTTTTCAGCTGAGATTTATTTTTGTAATCTATTTCATCACATGGGATGAAATTTCCATCTTTTTTTTGAAAACATAATACGTTTTTAATACCTGATGACCATGGTCATCTGTGTATCAATACCTAACTGCTAAAAGAGAAACTTACATCAGTTCCAACAATTATTAGTCGACATTTATTTTTCTAACCTAGTTCATTACATCAAATGAAATATACTCTTTCTTTTTTGAAAAAATGTTACATCTTCTTGTATAGACAATAATGATAGTCATATATATGTCAACATACAACGTTGTAGAGAGAAATTTTCGTATGTTCGAAAAATTTTTTATTTTTACTTAATAATTTCAGTCGAGATCTATTTTTATAATCTGTTTTTTGATCACGTAGGATAAAATGTAGTCTTTTTTTCCAGAAAATGATTTATTGTTTTGTGTAGATGATTACCATGGTCATAAATGTGCCAGTACCTAACCTCTAAGAGAGACAATTTCTTTTCTTCCAAGGAATTTTGCTTCGAACCTGACAATTTTTAGTCGATATTTATTTTTCGAATTGATTCTACCAGATCGAACGAAACTTACCCTATTTTCTCAGAAAATGATACATCTGTTATTATAGATGATGGCGATAGTCATCTATGTATTAATTCCTGATCACTAAGAGAGAAAATTTTACTTCTTTGAACGAACTTTGTTTTGAAACTATGATTTTTTAGTTGATATTAATTTTTGCAAATTTATTTCGTTAGATCGGATGAAATATATGCTTTTTTTCTTCAGAAACTAATACATTTTTTTGTATAGATGATGATCATGATCATCCATATATCAATTCCTAGTCGGTAAGAGAGAAGTTTTCATTTGTTAAAACGAATTTTATTTAAAATCTAATATTTTCAAGTCGACATTTACTCTTCCAATCTATTTCATCTTAACCGATGAAATATAATCACCTGGTATGATTAAGAAAAACCTTTTTGTATAGTTGAGATTGGTCATTTATATAGCAGCGTACTACCTTTAGAGGGAAAACGTTTTTTCTTTAATGGTGGGTTTTCTTTAATATTACATCTTTTCATATCGATTTATTTTTTTCTGATCAGTTGCATTATATTGAATAAAATGTAATCATTTGATTCGATTAAAACATACTTTTGTTTCATAGCTGATGTGAATCGTGATTTATATATTCAACTCGTAACATTGAACAGAAAAATTTTCTTCGCTACAAATGAGTTCTTCTTTTAAACTATCATTGCTCGTCGGCTGATTACTTCTGATATATGTTCCTTGGAATCGGATGAAATACAATCATGTCGTTTTCATACATGAGCTGTCTATTGTCCTCAGTTCGTAACCATGAATATCTTTCTATTGAGAGACAGTATACAAATGAAAAATATTTTTTGTTAAGATGATTTCTATTAAAATTATCATGTTCTGTTCCGCAACTAATTCTCAAAGATTGTTTATACGAATTCGTACAGTCGAAAGATATACGTTGAAGAAAAACTCAAATGGTAATCTCTTTGTTGATTACCGTTTATAACTATAGATACATTGTGAAGGTATATGGAAAGAAAAATTCTTTTTTATAAAAGTTGAATTTTTCAATTCAGTCAATATGACTGAAATTACAATCCGTTCATATGTCTCTTGAATTTAATTTTTTAGTATAAGTATGCATGTAAGAAAGAATATTACGCATGTATAGGCACATGGTACCTAGAAAATGTATAGGATAATATGAGATGGTTAAGTGAAATAAATAGTTATATGTTGATTTGGATGTGTACGATTCGTTACGAGCGTCCTTTGTGTTAGATATAATCGAATATGCTGACTATTGTTTGAAGTTCATGGTGATTGTATTTGTTCTACTTTTTTTTAAAATAAGAATCAGGTATTTTATCAAATAATTTTGTAATCGATATAGTTGGCTTCATATTGTTTCATATTCTTGTTCTTTCATAGATCTACAAAAGAAAAGATAACTTAACTATTTTCAATTTCTTGTTCTTATGGTCTTTCTTTAACCAAACATTTATATTATAGAAAATTCCGGCTCAAAAGTTCTGTTATGAAGTAAAGAAAGTACATTAAGTACTAGAATTTTCTATGAAATATGAAAAGAGTCTAACTTTTTAGATATAAACGAGAGTAGCGTTTATATTCATAAGGAAAAAATAAAGAAAAACAATTTTTTGTTGCTATTTAACTTTATTTAATAAGAAAAAAAGATATATGTGATGGAAAGATTTTTATTGAATAAAAGAAAATTTACAAAGAACACACAAACACCAAAAATTTACAATTAAACAGAAAAAGAGAGGAATTTATTTACAAAATTTACACTTGCTTATTTACATGGCATGTTGGTTGGTTAGCATGCCGACCAACATGCCGAGTGTTGGTACCGGCCATTACAGCTGGTACGGGCCAGGAACAAACTTGATCTAAATAAAATATGAATGTTTTATAAAAAATTTAAACTTTAAAAAAAATATGCTCACCTGTGGCCGGTGTTGCTGGTGTTATTTATACACCGGCTCACCTCCTATGTACCCGACCAGGTGCATGGCCGTTGGCCTATCCACCCCGAGCATCAGCCCGACCTTGATGGGCTTGACGGGAATAAATTCGTCCGTCATGGTCGAGTGATCACGAACCGTGTAACAAGGCCACATTGTGCCTATTTAATAAAAGCAAAAAAAGTATTAGTTGAAATATATTATCAAAACGTCACTTACCTGGTATTCCCCGAACCAGCGGTTGTTTATGGCCGGTACATGCCGCCGCCGAAGCTGCGCACGCCATTGCCTCGCCATAAAAGGCATGGCCCCACACATTGGGGTCGGCGACGGCACTCATGACGGTTTGTGTAGCGGTTTGGTTTTCTTGTGTTGGTGAATGCATTTTATATTAAGTGAATCTAAAAAAATTAAGATACAAAAAATTTTCATTACACTAAAATAATTCTCATTTTGTGAGAATGAGAAGCCAATTTCTATATGCATCTGTTCTATCTCGTATATATATACCCAAGAACAATCTCCCGTGGAGCTCATGTCAAGTTCATATGCTAGATATACATAATGTGAAAGCATTCATCAGACCATATATGATTAGTTCATATCTTCAATGATAGAAATGGTTAATCATTGATCATCAATCATAATCGAACAAATTCATTGATGGAATATCGAATAGCAACAAACTGTTTACAACTCAATTTACACCTTTCAATCCCAATTAATCAGAAGAGAACAATTGTATACAAGCATAGTATACATAATGGCTTGTTTCTTTTCTCAAACTTGGCTTTAATTTTCGTTGGCACTTATGAATGAGTTCTTCTAAATATGAATACGTGAAGCATTCTATTTAATTGTGATAAACATTATTAATTTTTTCTAATTTATGAATAAAAAGGGTACAACAAAAAAAAACAGAAACTAAAAATTAAAAAGGATACATGCGAGACTAAAATATAACAGCAGACGTTTTAGTATATAATTCAACATCTAGTTTGTGACGAGTCAATTTTTTGTTTGAGCATGATCCAATGGTTGAAGACTTTCAATGTTGGCGACGCTAATTTGATTTTTTACATCATTCTGATGACCATCGTCAAGCTCTTCATTATCATAATTGATTAATTGACTTGGATGTATTTCATAATTTTTATTCCGTGCGTCTGTGAGATTCGCTCCTAATTGACCGTCTACTTCTTTTTTCTAAAATAAAAATGCTTGTTGAATATATTATTAAGCAATACAATTTTCACTTGTCGTTGAACTGATAATTCAGTTAATTGATCATTTTCTTTCGGCATTGGAATAGCAACGCCTATTATAAATTTTATCACATTTGTATGTTAATTAAATTTTTTATTGCCACCTATATTACTTGGTTGACCAAAATTATCAGCAAATATTGAGTTAATATTGTATGACTCGCAGCCTTCTAGAAACAAAATGGTATTAATTTGATTTATAAGAAGAAAAAACCCAACCGTTTGATTCCATTTCTGGAATATCTGAGAACGGATATCCAGCACGAAACACTTCATCGTCATTCCAATCTAAATCTAATGCCGTATGAGCGAATTCAATTGGTAATAGATTAATATGATCTGGATTGGGATTCCCATTAAAATTTGCCATTGAATACGTGTTGAAAGTTTTGTATATATGATATTAATTATTCAAAAGATGCTAAAAAAAGAAAATGTTCAAAGAGTATTATTAATAAGTATATGCACACACATATATATATATATATCAGTTTATTTATTGAGATATATGTCAATTAATAAAAGTTTATCAACTATCGTATTTATGTGTAATTATGGCAAGTGATAGCCATTCATAATTTCACACTTCATGTGCAAAAAGCATTTGTCACTTATATTTGATTAGCACTATCCATAAAAGTACTGATATGATTTATTTATGATATTGAAAAAAATGTATTCAAAATATTTTTTTATGAGTGAATTTATGTGTGTAACATTATTATATATTAATTTATAGTATTATTTTAGCGTTGTTTATCATAAGATTGAAAATATTTTTTAAATAATATGTCTTTTGTTGCCACATTTCAATGAAAAGTTTATTTCTCTACATACGATATACATACGCAAATAGCAAATATATCAATTAACACTTTTATGTGATATTTCTTTTTTTTCCCTTTTTTTTCTTTTCGTAATATAATGGCATGAGAAGAGAAGCAAACGAATTCACTGATTAAATCGTTGTATAGTTTTTCGTTGTCAGAAAAAAAGGAAAAGAAGAAAACGCTACGAAATAATCTATTGGTGCACATATATTTATCAATTTTCATAATCCAATCAGGCTAAAAAAAAATTTTATCAATGAAATGTCGTCATAAAATAGAGAAAAACAGAAGTTTAGACACGTTATCAATGTGAAATGTATGCTAGTATATTTATTTAAAAAAATTAATCATAAGCAAATTGTATGTACGTATATCATATATACGTATATAGATCCAAAGTGATGTGACTATCGTTTATCTAAAAGTAAACACAATGTACGATTATATAATAATTATATAATAATATTTAAATGACATCTATATTTTTTTTTCAATATGAATAAAATAATGGTGGTGATTAAAAAGATAAAACGCTTGATTAATAAACATGCATCAAAAAACTATTATTGTTCATTGCTACGTGCTTGTTTCATGAACAGTTAAATGCCATGTTCACGTTCGAAATCGATTGCAAACTTGAGAAACTCTTCATCTGTAATTTCTAAACGTGATGCAACCATAGCAGCTACACTGATAAATTTGGGTGCTACAGCACTTGCACCAGAAGGCATCGAAGCTTTTTGTGCAAGTACTGGAGTTTCAATTTTTATTTTTTTTGTTTGAGCATCGATATCTTCAGAAAAAGATCTTTTTTCTGAAGAATTTGATATCTGAAAAAGATGGTTTTTTTTAATATTACAAGAAAATAAAGTATCTCACTTCGGCTGGATCATTCGATTTCATTTGTTTAACAGCAATATTGCTATTTATTGTATTTTCTGTAATGAGAAAATTTTCTTCGTAAAATAATGATATGTTTTTTTTTCTCTTACGTGATGAGTTTGACATGATAACGAGTTGATAATTGTTAAGTGTAATAAGTTTTTTCAATCTGAAAAATCTAAACACAAAGCAAGTATATAATTCAGATACTAATCTTTCCATGCTCTAATTTATTTATTTATAATACGTATAGACTATAAAATATTCGATAAAAAATGATTTAGATAAATGAAGCAGATTAATAATACTAACAAATAGAATTCGATTAAAATTGTGAACTATTACTCTACAGATATGAACATGTCTATTCGAATTGTTTATAACCAATTCGTTTGATAAATGCCTCTTGAAGAAGATAGGAGTCGATAGTTGGAAGTGGCCATTGATGTGTTCCATAAGTGGTTGTCATAATTTGAACTTCACCATCATCATCTATTATTTCTTTCGTTTCTACTCTATTCTCTTCAAGATCATCGTTATTGATTATATCACCATAGAGAGTATCGTCGAAATCGTGAGATTCGAGAAAAATAAATCCTCTGTGACAATATCGAATAATTCTTTCACAGATACTTTTCATCATAGTTGCATGCATTGTATAACATATAAATGATTTTGTAGCAATAGCTTGTAAAAAAGCAAATGTACAAAACAGACGTGTACCTATTAAAAATAGACATAATCATATTTATTGGTTTTAGTTTTTCTCACCTGTAAATGCAACTTGACTGACATCAATATCGCTGGAATGAAGTACATAGCTGATAGGATTAGTATTATTAGGAACATTTTTAAAATTAAATTGTAATTGAATATTAAAAGGTAATTCAATAATGTAACCACCATTGCTTTTTTTTACTAATGTTGTACTTGGAGAGTAATTTTTCTCTAACATAATCTTCATCAAATCAACATAAATAGTATTAACTGCATCATTGAATTCATGAAATGAGTTACCGTTGAAATTTATATCTACCATTTCAATGACAGTATCTGAAAACGGATGTTTGCAGAGACAGTTAACAATACAACCTCCGGAAATATGAAATTTGTTAAAATCGATAGCTTTTATCCATGTAAATAACTTAAAACGATCTTCGAAATTCATTATAAATTCTGAAATATGTTCCACAAATATTAAGTTCTTGTTTAGCACATCATGTGCTAATGGTCGAAACAATTGACATTCTAGATTAAAAAGTATTATATAAAATCGAAGTCTCATAACAGCAACTTTTGTCTCTTGTCATCTTTAATTCCATACTTTTCCTCTTTTTAAAACAACATATTTTTCTCATTTAATCTCGTTGCATCGGTCATATATAAATATTATCGAATACAAGTCATTTTTTTCTTTTCTCCTCTTTCCTCCTTCTGTTATGTACTCTTCATAAAATCAGGCAATTAATCATCTACAATGTCATATCGTACGCTGCGTTATATGATCATTTTTTCTCTTTACTTGACAAATCTTAAAAACCATACCTTTGAAAAGACTTTGTTCATAAACATTTAATTCACGTGAAGGACCAGTTGAATATTTGTAATTAAAATAATCAAGAAGAATTAAATTACCAGCATATGACTGTGAATTAAATGTTAACAAACGGCTGTAACATTGAAATGATGGATTTTTGTACGCACAACATAATTTTTCTAAAGCTTCCACCGTAAATGTAGAATGAATGAATGAACGCATTACAGGAGCATGTTCGTGATGATAGTGATTGGGATATAAATATCCCATGGTGGTGAAAGAACACTCTTCCAAGTAAAAATCAAGATAAGGCATAGTAACTGTTACATTTTCTTTTTTAACTAATTCCATAAAAATTAGATAGAATTTGTATTCAGATACTACAATGGTTCGAAATTGTACAGAACCATTTACTGCCTCCATATAATTAATAACATCCAGACCTTTAAGATAATTGACGAGTAAATATCCGATATCTGGATGGAGTGGAACAGTTTCTTCATTTTGTAGAGTTTGATCGTTAAATGTCAATGCATGAGCCATATTAGAATAATTATTATTAAAATCTTAAATGAACAAAAAACACGCTATTTCTCAATATTAGAAATTAAAGAATATGAACAAAATAAATTGTGCTACTAATCTATGTGTATATATGTATATTATTTCACGAAAAAATTCAATTATATATACAAAAGAAGTTTTAATTGATTCTAAGAAGCAGAAAAAAACAAGATAATTTGTATAAATAAATAATAACATGAAAGAATGTGATGATTAATGATTGTCTGTAGTATTCATTCTTATCTCTTCCCTTTTTGACATGTTTTTTTTTAAATTGTTTAATTATACTCATTGCTAATATAGGATGTGTTATGCGTTCTGTTCATTATTTGATTGGCTTTCTCAATTTCATTTTTTCTCATGTTTTCAAATAGCTATCTAATTATTTATTGGTTGATATTCGGCGTTCTTTTTCAATTTTTTCTCGCTTCCTGTTTACGTATTAATTACTTTTTCTCTTTCTAAGAAAGCTACAGAGCAATATGTCAAAGACTTCTCTATCAGTTCATCAATCAAAAATAAGTCACTTTCAATACATATGAATGATATTTAATAATAATGAATAAAGAAAGCTACTTGATAATATACATACATGCAATAAATGAGATTAAAATAGAAAAAAAATGTCAACGTGATAGTCTTGTAAGCTGGTATGCGAGTTTCGATGACATTGCAATCGATGTTGTGATGTCAATTTTTGATGAAATAAAGTTTGATGATGCTACTTCAGTCATAAATGATTCTTGATGATGGATATCGACTTTTAATACATTAATAATATCAGCAATATCTGACCAAAACAATCGTAGTCCACGTGAGCAAGCAGCCATGATTTGAGCAGATGTAGTCGCTTTCATATAAAAATTCGTTGTGTGTACTTTAAAAAAAGAATTTACTGCTTCACGACAATCAATTCCACGTTCTATTATAGATAATATTTATTTACTATTTAGTGCAAAGGAAATCGTCAAATCTTACTATGAATTTGACAAAGATGATCCGCAGCTTGTCGTACTATTTCCATTGTTTTCAAACATGAAGTCACATTGTCAATAAGTTGTTTCTTGTCCTTTTCATACCGAATTAAATAATTATTGCTGGAATTTACATCAGCACTAGAATTTAAGAAGTTTCGTGGTTGAAGAGTAGGGATTGGTGGAACAGTTTTATGAATTACTAATCGTGAACCAAGAATTCGTTTTGCTCGTTCTTCCAATGTTTCATTTGCTTGTTGTATTGGACTACTTGGTTGAGGTGTCGTACATGGAGAATCGCAATTAGAAAGGAAACTGAGAGTGGTGGTTGGTGATAAAAATGTTGGAGATGTTGATGATGATAGTAACCTTTTTCGATTGTTGTGTATGCTACTCCGATGTTCATATTGATTGTCAGAAGAAATAGCTTGAATAGGTTTTAATGCAATATTACGAATTCGTTTGGCGATTCGATCAGCAATTTTCATATCAGCATTCGACGCAAAGCTTACAAAATAAACATTTTTCTTGGATGATAATCGCTTGTCAATAGATACGATGCCTAATTTCGATTTTATTTCTGCTGTTAATTTATTTGTATATAAAACACGTTGATACTGCATGACCTACTAGAAAAAATATCATATCCTTTTATTTCCTATATTTCCATCATTTATAACATATCCCATTCACTATCGGTTGATAAATCTCAATAGATTTAGATGACTGTACATTCTACGAAATAAATAAGTAGGATAATTCCTGACATTCTCAATTATCTAAGTTATATATTATTATATCCGTTATATCTGTATATTACTTTTTGTCACATGGACAAATCGTGGTCACTAGATAGCGAATCGTGGTCGCTAGATAGCGAATCGTGGTCGCTAGA